TTGCCTGTATACTCCAGGATCTACATGCCCTTGTTCAATTTTGGGTTGCACAAAGGGGGTAGGTAAGGAAACATGAGGTGGTGAAATGCAGGGGTTGGATATGCCAGGAAGCAACTTGGGGAAGTTTCCTTCCATTCAAAGCAGCTCAACGGCAAACCTAAACACTGACGAGAGCCTTGAGGATCACCAGGGAACTAAAACCAGACTTGCCAAGAAATCATTAAAAAGCTACTAGTCCACGCATATTTGCAATAGCCACTTGCGTGTCGAGGTCCCGCAAGCCACCCCTAAATAATTCACAATTCACACATAATTTTTGTTTAAGGTTTTTGGCATAATTTTGGCCACAACTTTATTAAAATACATAAATGTGAGTGGTTGCTTAGGCATTAGTTATGACTATCTGTCCCCGTTCGGGGACAGAACTGACTTCCGGATTCCAGCGAAAGCCAGTAAGGGGAAACAATATTGAGGAGAGCATGGAGCCGGGCACCAGACCCTCACCTCTCCTCACATGCTCCCGGCGGCTTGCGCAGTCCTAAGCCCCATTCAGGGGTATGGACAAAAGAATGGCAAGCCCCTGGATTCCTTTAACGGAATTCCCTTTCTGCAGCAGCATTGGAGGGGCAGGCACAGCCAACCCTTACCCCTCCACCAACCAAATTTTTAACCAATGCCTTACAAGTTGTGACGATTTGCTACGCAGTAGGCAAAAAACCAAATAGCACCAGCCAATCAGCCACATGGATAAAATTCCTACCAGGCCCCTGCCCCAAAGCAGACGACCCCATGACAGGCATAGCAAGGTCAAACACAACAGCTGTAAAATTAGAGAGGGTGGGTGGGCGATCCGATGCATGCAGCAAAAGAGCCCAGTCAGTGCTGAATGACTTGAGTTTATAACCTTTGGTCCGTCACCCTGAATGGTCCCCCCCCAAAAAAATTTGCCCAGTAACCCAACTGCCCAATCACTGTGGATGGACATCCATACTAACTCGCCCAGCAACAGAGGGGTGACCTGTCAGACCCCACCGCAACATGTGCTCTCTATGAAGGAGAACACGCTTTGTAGCCCAAGAGACAAGACGCAACTTTGTAAAGCTTTTCCGCCTCACTTAACAGGCATCCAGGGGAGTGGCAAGAGGACACAACATTAGCTGTCAAATTAATTAGCAGTGTGTGATAGCCTAAGTACGTTTGCCACAGTTTCCATAGGAAAACTTGGTGCATAAGCAAAGCAAAACCTTTTAAAAAAATGTTTTGGACGAATTGCCAAATTATAAATATGCAGGCAAATAATACACAGCTCCGCCGAAACCAACAATTCAGCAAAGATGCTGTGGAAAGTTTCTAATTAAAGTTAATTAGGAACTTTAGGTCATGGCATTTCTAGGAAACTAATACGCTGTCGTCTCAGCCCATTTTTGGTTTGCATCGGAAAGAAAACACACCCATGGTATTTATGGTGGGAAATGTTCCCTTTTGGCTCCGCTGTTTCCAAATGCAGCGCTTTCCATGCTCAGAGTCTTTCCGTCGATGCTTTATTTCCATGCTACGCAATCAGCTCCCAGTAGAACAATTAATGTTGCGTGCTGGGGTTTTTTTTATCCTCTAAACTTGACCTGTTTTTCCACTATACCTTAGGGTGCAATCTTCCTTCTGTTACTCACATGAATGGACTATTCAGAGCCACAGAATTTCATCTCAAGTGTATTCGTCCTTGTCTCCATTTTTTTTAAAAAAATAAAAATATACCGAATTGGATATGAAGTTGCTCCAGGACTCCCAATTCAGCCATTCCAAACATCAAGCATGATAACGAAGAAAGCCGCAGGTGGGGTTATGACCACAACAGCTTCAAGTAGCCAAGTGCTCTACCTCTCTCTATATATATTTTAAAAAACCAAAACCAGGTATCCCAAATCAATTCTACACAGCACTGTACAGTGGTACATTGGGTTACAGACGCTTCAGGTTACAGACACTTCAGGTTACAGCCTCTGCTAACCCAGAAATAGTACCTCAGGTTAAAAATTTTGCTTCAGGATGAGAACAGAAATCGTGCAGCAGCGGCAACAGGAGGCCCCATTAGCTAAAATGGTGCTTCAGATTAAGAACAGTTTCAGGTTAAGAACGGACCTCCAGAACGAATTAAGTTCTTAACCTGAGGTACCACTGTAGTGGCAAAAATAGTTTGAATTGTGGTCCAATATTATAAAATTGGGGATTTAGCCTGATTAATCAATATTTATTTCATCAACATAACCTTTTGCAGATTGTCATGAAACTTGACATTTTTGACCCCTAATCATATGCCATAAGTTTGCCATCTCTTCCCAGCAATTGCAGAACAATCTATTATATTGTTCAAGGATAAAAAAGCAAGAATCCTTTAATAATCCACTCCTTATTACAGCAAGAATCAGAAAGCACAATGGAATACGAGTTTCTATGGTTTCCTTACGGACACATATGATTTCCAAACATAAGCCTCTTCTGCTACCTTAGGCAGGGTTTTGGTCTAAGGGACTGCAAGGCAAATTGCTTCGCAAAGCCCAAGAGAGGACATCTAAGGCGTATCTGCTGTTCTGACCAGTTACTCCGAAATTATGAGCCCTCCAGCAAACAAAAGAAGTGACCGGTTTAGCACAGGGTCACCACACAAATTATAAAAGTGATATTTTTAAATGATAAAAATATTTCAGTAATTAAATTATTCATGGACTAGCAGGTACATTTCAGAGACATCTACCACACCTCGCATCCTTAATCTGGCACACAGTTATTCATTTATACTGCAAATGAAACAAATTGGCTATGCTGAAATGCTTGTAATGCCAGTATCCCCCTCCCCAAAGTTCTTGTTCCATTGACAACCAAGGAAACATTTAAAATGTGCATTCTTAGCAATGTCAGCCTCCCCATTCGGCTGCGAGCTCCTAGGTTGTCCTTATCAACCTTTGTGGGGTTTGGCCGTGTGCATCCGAACACCAGTTGTGTGTTTGTGTTGTGGGGTGGGGGGGTTACACTGTTGACTATATGCCCTGCATATGGACTTTCTGAAAATATCTGGCTGCCTTCTTGTCTTACTGGACAATGGATTTCTGGTCTGATCCAATCCAGCTCTTATTTGGCCTTATGGCTTTCTGATAGACATGAACATTTTGATAAAGTATCCTCTATCATTTTGCAAACATGAACAGGGATGACCAAATCAGTCAAAAGCGCTACTACTGCTGCCAATTTGCTTTGCAAGCAGTAAAATATAGCCAACTCTCCTTTCACTGAATAGTCAAAGATTAGGAATACCCCAGTACTTTTAGAATCGGATGACACACGGTGCTGCCCTTTCATTTCTGGTTCATTTCTTTAAAATCAAAAAACTTGGCAATCACATACAATTACCCATACCTTGATTTAATCAATAAATAAACAGTCCAGAAAAAAGAACAGCAAAAATGTATTAAAATCTGCAATCCAATTCGGCAAGTGGTGCATGCCCACACATCTGTTCACAGATTTTCTTGGTTCTGGCCATCTTATGCAACATGGAACTTAAGACCACTGCATTATTTGGTCTAAATCCTTAACACATTTAAAAGAACGCTACTCACCAAGTTCCCTGAATGACCCTGTTGCTTCTTAGTCATTAAAAAAACCCCATTTGCTCATTTATAAATACAAGTAATTTTATACCGCCCTTCAATCACATTTCCAGGACAACCCATAAGAAGTAATAATTCAAGTGTAAAACCAAAATTGTTACACCGCAACCAAAGCAACGGCGGACGGCCATCTATACAGCACAAGCAATTCAACCTCCAGGGCAATTGGCAAATATAGCCAGACTTAGACCAAAGCCATATTTACAATGAGTCAAAGCAAAACGGCAAAAAGTATATTAATAGCAGCAGCTGATGGAACACTGGGTGGTTAGAGGCAGTCATGGAAGACTGCAAGAATGCTTGTAAGAATATAGTGGACTTTTGTACAAGTGCATTTGTATTATGAAAGGATGGGTTTCCTTTATACCTAGGCACTCCTGTCTCCACACACCTGGAGTTCATCGGTGCAGACAAGCAACCACTTACTAAGCATAAATTGCAGACTATAACTCGAGAGAGAGATGACAGCAATTCTTTTGTGCCCTTGTCTGCTTTCTGTGCAATTTTGGTCCAGATTGTGATTTACTCTGTCCATGGGCTGCTGCCACAAACATAGCTGTACTCACAAGCCCATAATACAAGACCAAGGTGTCCGGACCTTTGCAATCCAGTTATTTCCTTAGGGCTGACTCTGTTCGCGGCCACATGCAAATCTACATTTGTTTGTAGCTTAACACAGCCATGGTCATCTACTCAAATGCAGCCACAGCCATCTGCTTACAGCCATCTAGGAAAAGCAGAGTAACAATGTCACTTGCCTACTTATCTGAAGCTCTTCTACGGAGGCTCGGTGTGAACTCTGGCATTACGAAAGTCAGAGTTTGATGACTAAGGGCTAACTCGTGCATGCATGCACATTGCTCAGTTCCTTATCAAGTGACAACTTGTGGCTGAGTGCATGAAGATCCTTCACCGAGAAGATAAAGCTAAAAAGGTAAAGGACCCTTGGACAGTTAAGTCCAGTCAAAGGTGACTATGGGGTTGTGGTGCTCATCTCGCTTTCAGGCCAAGGGAGCCACGGTTTTCCACAGACAGACGGTTCATGTGGCCAGCATGACTAAATCGCTTCTGGCACAACAGAACACTATGATGGAAACCAGAGCACATGGAAACATCATTTACCTTCCCACCACAGAGGTACCTATTTATCTACTTGCACTGGCATGCTTTCGAACTGCTAGGTTGGCAGGAGCTGGGACAGAGCAACAGGAGCTCACTCCGCCGCGGGGAATCGAACCGCCAACCTTCTGATCAGCAAGTCCAAGAGGCTCAGTGGTTTAGACCACAGTGCCCCCAGCATCCGAGAAGGTAGGGTGTTGAAGTACTGCAAGAGTTCCATCTATGCTGCTATGTGCATGTGTGAAATAAAAACACTGCCATCGTTATGATAAGGAATGTATCTATTCACTCTGACACTGTATGAAGAATCTGCATATGTAATAGCATTCGAAGCTGATCATCCAGCTACACCAGCCAAACTATTCCCAACATTAAATCCTTACCCTGACAAGTGTTGTTCTTCTCTTCGTAGCCTGCCTTGCACATGCATTTCCCAATTGGCACCAGCCATTCCCCTTCGGCACTGCAGTGCATCCGTGGGGGTTCGTCTGTCACAGAGTGGTTCACACATGACCCCAAGACTTCCAGAAGCTGAGAAGAATCCGCTCCGGTGATGGTGTCGGGGAAGATGGCCAAGTTCCGAACCACCACAGGGCACTTCTTGTAGTACACCCTCACAGAGACCAGCGCGATGCAGGCGCCCACATCTTGGAAAGCAAGGTAAAACCCCTTTTTGGTCAGAGGCCCAACATCTCTCACCTCTGTGTTCAGCTTCATGACTCTATCTCCAAGGTCTAGCTCTGTGAAGCTCTCATCCGCCGCAATGGTATCAATCTTGATGTACTGGTTTTCTTTTACGTTCCTTCCATCTTCGTCATCCGATTCAAAATAATACATATTAAAAGTCTCTTTGCAAGTCCCAAGTCCTCCAGGAAGGCTGTTGCAGTCCCTAAGGGTGAATTTCAGTTCAATGAAGATTCGAGAGGCTCCTTTGTTGGAGATCCAGCTTGTCAGAAGCCAGTTGTTCTGACTCTGTTCCATGACTCTGCACACTTGATATGTGTGGATCGGCGCATAATTCTCATCCACCTCGCCAATTTCTTCCCACTAAACGTTTGGGGAGGGAGGAGAGAAAAAGAAGAAAAATGAAAGCACACATTTAAAAAACAGATTGCAAATGTCTGTAATTCTAAGTTGATAACTGCGCTAGACCTCAGTAAGCAGAAGTGAAGTATGTTTGCAAAAGTTGGGTGTCTGCCAGATATTCTAAAAAGCTAAATTGGGAAGGTGGGGGGAGAGAGGGAGAGGGAGAGAATGTGACCTGATTCTGCCAGTAAGAAGAATCCTGTTCTTTTGGGCGCATTCTGACCACCTTCCCCCTTTTGCACATGCTGACACATCATTGCCAATGCTTCATACATTCCAGAACTGAGACGTAACACGAAAAGAGGTTCTACCACATTGCTCTGAGAATCCCTGGGAGCACACACTTCAAATTAAGTTAGTAATTGCAGAGGAGATGAAAAGAGGAAATGCCCAGTTCATACACACAGAGGCGAACATGGAAAGCTGGAGAAATCTCCTTCTTATCTTCTACAGCAACCAGGAACCAGTCACCTGGTCCAATTTTTCAAGTTGCCTATGGCAACGGGGCACCAAGTGTTCCACTTGCCTGCCGTTAAGCTCTTTCTTTCCCAGTTACTGAAGTGTTAAACTTAGACCGAAAGCCGTACTATCCCATTACTGTTCAATTAAGGCATTATACGTTCTAGCTTGACGCTCCCTCGACAATGGGGAAGAAATTGTTTATTGTGGCGTGTGAAGCTCATAAGGAAGCAAACAGCCTCTGCCGTGTGTCTGACAATGTTCTCATAAAAGCTCCACTAAGGAAGAATCACATTGTTTTCTGACTGGTTTCTCTTATGCCGCACTACTTTGCCACAACGATTCCTTCCATCCTCATGTTGCGTACTTCTACTTTGGTACTTGGCGCTTATGTCTATTAGTTCACGGTAGCGATCCATCACAAGCACACACGTTAAGAATGGGTAACAAATGGTTCCTCCTTTTACAATGATCTAGTCACAAAGGTCTAGGGACGCGGGTGGCGCTGTGGGTAAAACCTCAGTGCCTAGGACTTGCCAATCACATGGTCGGCAGTTCGAATCCCCGCGGCGGGGTGCGCTCCCGTCGTTCGGTCCCAGCGCCTGCCAACCTAGCAGTTCGAAAGCACCTCCGGGTGCATGTAGATAAATAGGGACCGCTTACCAGTGGGAAGGTAAACGGCGTTCCGTGTGCTGCGCTGGCTCGCCAGATGCAGCTTGTCACGCTGGCCACGTGACCCGGAAGTGTCTGCGGACAGCGCTGGCCCCCGGCCTCTTAAGTGAGATGAGCGCACAACCCTAGAGTCTGGCAAGACTGGCCCGTATGGGCAGGGGTACCTTTACCTTTACCTTTAGTCACAAAGGAGGCCACAAATAGAACTTTGTAGGGCCAGAAGCTCCTGGAAGACTTTTAGCTATCAGTTGTCAAAGCCATGTTATGGGAAAATCCTTAGCCTCACTTGGATTATCAAACAAAGACACCAGCCAGGAATATAGGAGCAAAACAGCAGCCAGTAGGTCTGGCCTTTATTTTAAAGGACTGTTGCCCACCACATGGAAGAAGCAAGAAGAAGCCCAGAACAAAGGATGGCTCCCACTTTTATCAGTTTTACAAAGATACCCACAACACCCCTAAAATTACATCACAAATTGGGAGGGTCTGGTGACAGAAACCTGAGCATCATTTTCCTTCCCTTGACCTCCACCTCACACCCATCAAGTAAGACAAAAAAATATATTTACAAGTTCCTGGTTTGTCCTGACCAAGAACCTAATCCATTCCTGATGGTTTGCTATTGTCCACAGGATGACTACCTGTCTGGTACCTATTTGCCAGGATGCCAGTGATGACCTCTTATGCAAAAGGTTGCTGTCTACCTAATCCCAGGTTTCAGGGATTATGGCTGTCTTTTACCAGTTCCCCAAGCCCCCCCCCTTCGGTAGCCATTTTTTCCCTGAGCAGAACAGCGTTGGAAATTGTGTGGTGCCATGTGTGATGTGGTGCTTTGAGGAGACAATGTGTGTGAACAAAGGGGGGGGGGTTACACGCTGCGTGCTGCAACACCCCCCCCCCATCATTATAAAAAATTCTGTAACGGCCGCTTGAGAAGAGTCTCCCACCTGTCTTCTGTGCAGTCTGCTCACCTGCTCACTCATCGCACTACCTGTCTGCTCCTGGCTAAGGGATATTTGCTACAGCTGTCTTTCTCCTCTCTGCCACGGCCAGAAGTGGTCAGGTGCTGCCAGAGGCTGAGCAGGCAAGAGGTTGTGATCCAACGGAAAGCTACTCTCCGCATCTGGTTGAAGCAGCTGTGGAAACAGCTACAGACATCACGAGGGCTCATTTACAGCCTCCTGAGCACCAGTCAGCCCAGCAAGTAAATTATTTTTGTGAGGCATGCGTGCGGATTCGGGGGCCTGATCTAAAGGAATACAGTGCTACCTCAGGTTAAGAACTTAATTCATTCCGGAGGTCCGTTCTTAGCCTGAAAACTGTTCTTAACTTGAAGCACCACTTTAGCTAATGGGGCCTCCTGCTGCCGCTGCGCTGCTGCCACACAATTTCTAGCTAACAGGACCAGTGGTCAGGGATGATAGGAATTGTAGTCCCAAAAACATTTGGAGGGCTGAGTTTGGGGGTGCCTGGACTAGCCAGACCAAGGGTCCATCTATTCCAGGGGTGGGGAAGCTTTGGGACAGAATATTCAGCAGAGATGAAAAGAACTGCCCCTTTCTCTCCTGTCTGGCATTGCTGCAAAGTTACTTGAGAAGGAAATGAGATGAAAAAGCAGCTGCTTCTGCTGTTGCTGCTGCTACTGTTGCTAGTGAGTGAAGGATGCTTATCTCTGCAAACCCACAAGGGAGATCATCAAGATCTTATCCTGGCACCCTGACCTTTCCCTATTATTGTACCTTGATTCCTATCTCAGTGCAGGACGGCAACTTCCAGTCTGCCTCCCACCGCCAAGCCATTCGTATCTGCAGCACAAACAAGACTACAGCTACCTCCCGAGATTTCTATCACTACCCACACACTGCAAAAGGTTTAACATGCCAAACATCAATTCGCTTTAAATGAAATAAAAGAGAAGGAATCACCAGGCATTGAATGGATTAAACGGCTATGAAACTTTTCAATGTAATAAGAAGGTGCTTAACATTGCTGCTATACTAGTTTTAGGTTGTGTTTTTGTTTCAGTGATACAGTCATACCATGGGTTACAAACACTTCAGGTTGCGTTTTTTTGGGTTGTGGACTGCCGAAACCCGGAAGTACCAGAACGGGTTACTTCTGTGTTTCAGCAGTCACACATGCGCAGAAGCACCAAATCGCTCTTTGCGCATGCGCAGAAATGCCAAATTGCAACCCGCGCATGCACAGACATGCCGCTGCGGGTTGCGAACATGCATCCTGCACGGATCACATTCGCAACCCGAGCGTCCACTGTATATCATTTGTTTGTTTGGGGACTGTACACTGCTTAGAGATTTTTGAAATACTAAACAGCGTATGAATGCTTTTAAATGAAATGAAATCACTACTCAGGCTAAAAGCCTCTCTCGTTCAGAATCCTGATTCCGTTTCCAAAAGCTTCCACAAAAAATCCACAAGCAGGCCTTGAAGGCAGCAGCCTTGTTCTTATCACCTGGTTGGCTTCCATCTGTCCCAAGAGACAATGGAGTGCTCCTCCGGGGGTTAAGTCAAACCAGTGCTGCACCAAAATTATCTTCCCAGAATGCAAGCCTGAGCAGTGTGTATGGAGCTCCTGGCTGCCCAGATGACAAGACTCCGCTCTCAGCCTCGCTGAGTTGGTCCAAAAGAAAACAGAGCAATACGTTTGGCACCAGCTTTGACCAAGCTGCAGGAGTTACCAGAAGGACCAGCGGTGGAGGAAGCCTGTTATGTACTGAGTTGAATAGGATCCAAAATGCAGCAGTCTGATTGGTCCTAGAACAATAGGATTCAGAATGCAGCAGTCTGATTGGTCCTAAAACAATAAGACCCAGAATGCAGCAGTCTGATTGGCTCTAGAACAATAGGATTCAGAATGCAGCAGTCTGATTGGTCCTAGAACAATGGGACCCAGAATGCAGCAGTCTGATTGGTCCACAGGAACCACCCAATCCAGCTGCAGGTGGAAGTGAATCTGCAACCTGATTGGCCTACAGGAGAATCCTGGAATTAGCCAATCACGTGGGGCCCATTGTGTAAATAATGTATATAAAGCAGACATTCTGGGGGAACTTCCATTCTTCCTCCTCACCACTATGAGCTGAATAAAGAGCATGAAATCCACTCTCGACTCCGAGTATATTTCAAAGCCTCTCAGGGACCTAGGGCACAGCAAACCGCCCACAGGAGCAGGGCAAACCGCGGGGCCTCATCTGCCCTACAGCTGGGGAAGAAGCAGCAGGCAGACAGCACGGAACCGGTAGCCGGTGGCCATTGGGGGCGATTGGCATGGTGACTGGCACCCGGGGGGCGATCGGCGCCCGGGGGGCAGCACAGCGATCCGCCCAGGGGAGATTTTGTCATCCCCCTCAGAGATGACACCTGGGGTGTACCGCCCCCCTTCCTATGCCCCTGAGAAGGAGGCATACAAAATGCCATCCAACCATCTTAGGGGCTCCACTCCAGATTTGTGTAGGACTCACGCCTTACACCTTTTCTTTTCCCGAAGATCTCCCTCAAGGCATCAGAGGTTTAGGATCAGAATTTTTCTTTTCCCAGTTGGGCTAGCTTCCCAGGTTGCTGATCCCCATCTGCTCCACCTAAGACCCCTGAATATGGAGGATCCATTTAGCCACCATGGCTAATAGCCATTAATAGGACCTGCCCTGATTGATTGATTGATTGATTGATTGATTGATTGATTGAGAGCTCTGCACTAGAAGCACATTCCCCATCCAATGGCAGGGAGTGCCATACGTTTACAATCAGAAAAGTGATTTAAAAGAAAAACCAGCTAGGACACCACATAACATAGAAAGAAACTGCTGCAC